ATCTACAAAAAGGTTTTTTGGAACACAGCTGTGCTCATTTATATACTGTTTATGGCTGCTTTTGAGCTATATACGACAGCAGAGTTGAAAGGCTGTCATAGGCAACATACAGTGCATAAAGCTTAAAATAGTTATTACCTGGCCCTCTACAGAAAACGTTTCCTAACCTCCAAACTAGAATGATTAAGAAAGTTTCGAAGAAGATAAGGAACTTCAAAGTACCCTTCCCTAGGAGTAGGATTTAGATAAGCAGAGAGACAGGATTATCCCAGCAACCTGAATTTACAGACTACTTACAGTGGTTTAAGTATCACTATTAAGCCAATGAAGCAATGGGAAAATCTGGTTTATCATGAAACCTCTAGATGACTAAAACTTAAGACTCAAATTTACTTAGAATAGTTTACCTTTGATCATCTTTTCCTAGAAGTCCTAGTATCCTCAACAGCTGAATCTGTAACCACGGTGCTGGTACGCTGTGGTAATTGAAATCTACCGGAAGCTTTCCTCCAACTACTTGCTTCAAAATTGTTACAAAACTCCCAGTCAAGTCTTTATATGCAGATGAATTCTCCTACATCCAAAAACAAAACAGAATAAAATAAAAACAAAAAACTTTCTGTTAATAATACTGTCTTAAAATAAAAGAGACCTGGTTGAAATGCCATATGGGATCTAACTTAATACATGCTCACTTAGAAGATTAATGTTCACAGTTAATGAAACAGTCCTCTAATTTGCATAATTTCTTCCATGATGAAACTCCTCTGGCTACCAGATCTGAAGCTGAGTCATCCCCAAAAAACTCCCACCACTCTACTTGTCCCCACACACAGTTTAATCACATTTCAAAAGTTCTGTAATTACATCTTAGAAACTTTAATAGCTAGTATCAGCAATTAAAGCAAAAATTGAAAAGAACTGGCATACTGAAAATAAGAAGTAATATCTCTACTTCTGATGAAAATCAAGGCCTGTTTACCATCTCTAAACTTTGTTTGCAAAAGGCTTATCATGTAATTGAACTAAAGATGTCCTAGGTGGAAGAGCACAGCCTACAATAACATCCAAAATCCCCAAAATCAGTAAGCCTGCTTATTAAAAATTAATTAACCCTACAATATTTAAAGATATTTGTGATTCTGAATGAGTGTGCCTTGATTGCCTGACTAATCTCTTGGACCGGAGAAATTTTTTTTCATCTTTTCTTTTTAACTGAAGTATAGTTGTTACACAGTATTATATTAGTTTCAGGTGTACAACATAGTGATTTGACATTTATATACATTACAAATTGATCACCACTATAAGTAACTGTAAGTAACCATCTGTCTGGACTGGGGAAATTAAATACACATTCCTCAAAATGAATGTTAGATTCTTCATTGTAATTTTTATTATGTATCAAGGACAAATTTTTGGAAGAGAAGTAATAGCTCTTTCAAAGTTTAATAAATGTTAGAGGAAAATTAAGATTTAATATCTATTTATACCACACTATTTTGGAACACACAATGCATAAAAGAGAAGATAATCTTCAGTTCTTTAATTTTAAATTGGTATCAATAGCATATTTCATTTCATTATGAGGCATGACGAAATCTCTCACAAATATATACTTTCAGACACAAAGGGTTTCAGGCAATACACAGGGGCTGAATTAGTATAAGCCCATATCATCATTTAGAAAAATGTTTTACTGTACCATTCAACCCTCCTTCCTCCCCTAACACAGAGTCAATGTATGGAGTTAACACTGCAGTCTATGCCTTGTACATCCTCCATCAATTCTCCTCATTTCTATAAGCTATTATATACATCCCATGAAGTTGTATAAAGGAAGTCACTGCTTGAAAAACCACAAATCTGCAAATTTCAACCACCTTCTAGAGCTACCATTTTTCCATATTTCTTTAGTAACACGAAAATATTTCAGGCGTTAAAAAACAGACTAAATCTATAACATGTCTACCTACTACTCATGCTATCAACAATGTGCAAAACTTACTATTAAAAGGTCAATAATAAAATTTTAAAATGTTAATTAAACATTTTACTGAAAAAATTTGGTAAGTTGAGTCTTCTTTTAATTCCACAATTGTATTTTTCTAATGGTAACTACTCAGTACCTGCTCAAAGTTCCAACTTACCTTTATCATCTTAAGGTATATGTGCAAGGAAGCAGCCATGACCCCAACATCTCTGTCACAAAGTGCTTTCCGAAACTTAATATGGATATGCTGCACTTGATTAGGAGCGATGATGTGGAATTTATATAACGCCAGGACAGCTTTCCTTCGTATAATCTCCCTAAAGATAAAAAATAAAAACTAAATAAACCATCTGAACTGTCAGGCATTCAATTTGAGAAGACTATGGACCAGATGATTTCAAAATACAAGCTACTACCTTAATCTAAAAAGAAAGAAAGAATTATACATTTACTATTAATTCTTTATTCTAATTCACCAAACTATAAAATGTGGTTATCTCAAGGGGGTAAGACCTCAAGAGTTTAACTGCCCATGTTATATATTTTTCTAGTTATAAAATTTTTTGGTAACAAGCATATTACTTTTGAAACCAGTACAAACAGAAACAAATTCCTTAATTTCCTAATTCCACTTTTGAAAGCCGTATCTCTAGAAACTGGGGAAAGAATCCACAGTAAGTTTAAATTTGTAAAAGGTCATTTTGACTGGTAATATTAAACAGTCTTTTTATTAAATTAAAAGTCTCCTTAACATTCTAGCTTTTCATATTTCTTTATATCATGGGCAAACATACTCCAAATACTTTAGGGGGCAGGTGAGTATAGGGGGGACTTACATTAAAAGATGTTACTCCTCTCCTTGCCCAGCTCATGTTTCAAAAACCTCATTACAATGAAGAGGAAAGTATACACAAGTCTTGCACTTCATTTGTAACAGATAATGTCTAGCACACAAGAAGCAAAAATAAACAGTTGCTAACCTACGAACATAATGCAGTTTCCAAGGAAGTAAATTCCTTGTTTTTCTCTCTCATGCCTATTTCTGCGCACCTCATATTGGCAGACCATGCTGCCAGTTCACAATAGCAGCAGTGAAGTATTTACTTTTAGGGTTCCTTAATAAGTATTTCTGTTACCTAAAATCATGGAATCTCAAAAATGAGATTATTCAATGCAATCCTGGGTGTTCTACTCAAGAATACCTTTTACAAGATTCTTAACAAATGGTCATCCAGCTTCTGCATAAACAAGCAACCCATCATCTTCCCAGGGAAACTATGTCATGATGGAAAATTCTTTTCACATAGAAAGAAAAGCAGATTAACAACACATTTGCCACTAGTGTTAATACTGTAAATGTAAACTACATCCCAATGTACTGCTGCTGGGTGTTAACCAATATGAGTGCTGGGAGAGAGTAGGTAAAAGTGAGGTGAAGAAAATGAATACAAACTCTGAACATGCTCAGGAATCCCGAGGCCTGGCCCTAAGTGCTGGCACTAACACAAGATATCAAAAGACCTGGCCTGCAGAAATATAGCTAGGGATTCAAAAGTTAGGTCTAAGCCCTGTCTCACATCTTGTGATATCCACTGGCCCACCTGGAGCTCTGTCCCACCTTCTTTAGCTCTTTACTCCATAGCATGGAGATAGGCACGGCCAAAATGGCAAGAGCAGGGTTTCAAAAAGCCTAAACTCTAACTAGCAGAAGACAGGAGAGGCTAGGATTTGAGATTAGAGAATATGGAAAACAATATGCAAAAATTCAATTCTCAGAAGGATTTCACACAAAGGGTAAATATGACTACGAAACAGTGGTGGCATGGAAAAATTTCATAAAAATATGCTCTGCTATGATCAGATCAACCTGCAATTATCTAAGCAAAGCTAACCTTTCATTTCCAGTAACTAATTGTCCATACCTGTCATTTGTTCTATTTGGCATAAATAAAACATTGTAACAAGCTTGAAAAACCTATGAAGTTATTCTACAATTCTTAGTAAAAGTTATCATTTTAGCTGAAAAATGTATGGTCCAAGATTTCTTAAAGAATACAAACCATAAGACAACATTTTATAATCTCAGACACTAAAAATACTGACTTAAAGAAGTATACGAAATAAAGAAGTATTATGAGTAACAAAAAAAAATCTTTCTCAAAAATGTACATATAACTAAAACACGACAATCACAGAGGAAAAATGGCAAGTGATTGTAAACTTATTCCTAGTTTTCAAGGTTATGAAGTTAAGACACTTGGTCAAAAACAAAATAATTCCAAGTGTGATGAAAAAGTAATCCAGTTGATAAGGAGAGAGTTAAGAAATTTTACAAGAGAAGACTAGCAAGATACAAGTTAAGGGTTATTTATCTGTTATACAATAGACTTTGAATGCTTTAATTTTGATCTAAGAGCATCCCAAATACATAGAAGTTCTGTATTCATAGCATATGACCCATTTCCAGTGGTTTTTCATTACTTCATTTTACCTTCAAAACAACTTTGTGAAAACTAAGGGGCATTAACCAACCTCATCTAGCCAAGGGGAAAACAGGACCACTGAAAGCCAAAAATTCCTGATACTAAGCCTCACTGTCTCTGGGTTTAACTTTAGAAAGCTGCCTAACATTTTTCTAAACCCACATGAAAAATAAAGATTGATGATACTGGGGATTTTCGCATTATATCAGGCAGTCAAAGAATGTCCTAAATCCTGGTAGTATTAAGTTAAAGTTATAATAAATTTCTGATTATAAATTTTTCTTTTGAAATACATAGTGTAGACACCTAACCAAAAAGAATTTACTTACTTAGAATGTTGAAGTTTATCTTCTATTAATGGAAGAACAGCTGGAATCATTTCTCGAGGGAAAATCTGGCTGACGATAGTAAGTGCCATGCATACTTCTACCAGGTTAGTGCTCTGCAAGTCCTGACAGAATTATTAAGCAAAGAAAACATTCAGTGCAAATTCTAAACTAGGGATAGTGAGCTCAACATTGCAATGGTCGTACATATTTAATAGTTTTCTACTGACTATATATAATTAATTTGTACATTCAGGCTCACCTCATACTTTACAGGAATGTCCCTGGTCCATTTGCCTTAATAGAGTCAACAGATAAATACAGCCCAAAAGCAACCAATCCAAAGGAAACGGTATTTCTATTCTGACACTGACCAAAGTAGTTTCCTTTATCATAGCCTTTAAAACTTTTCTAAACTAACAAAAAATGAATTTTCCTTGTTAATAATATAAGTCAAAGTTTAAAAGGAAGTAATTCTCATGCATACAATAAAATGCATGCACTCATATATACTTACACATGCAGTTTATAAACCATTCTAATAGAAACTGAAAATGTATTTTTGAAAGTTTGGAAAAATGTATGCTACTAGTAACCTTAACAGAGTATATGACTTAAAATTCAGAAAGTATTACACACATACACACACACACAAGCATATGAAAAAACTGACACAAGATAAACATGAAAAAGCTCAACAATTCAATTGTACCTCAGTACCAATTTTGTTTAAAATTTAACAGGAAAAAATATTGTGAATGTGAATTAACTTGTTTATTTATTATCTGTACATTTCAATTACCTAATTATACTGTTTGCCTTTAAAATGATTCCTAGAATTCAAAAGACTTTAATTATTCAGTTTATATCCCTTTAGAACAGATCCTAGAGAAAAAAACAGCAGCATGGAAAGTGCATCTAACTAAGAGTCTGGATATCTGAGTTATAACTCTTAATTCTGCCTTTTTTAAAAGGAAACAATAATAATAGCAGCAGTAGCAACTACTACTGTCTGTAGCGTTTCATTTAACCCTCACAACTTGGCTAAGTTCTATTATTTATCCTAATCTTACAGATGAAGAAACTGATCTAAATAAAAGATCTTTCTAAGCCCATTCTGTAAGCCTACCTTTTTGCAAAAATATCTAATTCAATTTGATTGAAGAGAAATGTCGGATGCCTGAAGGGATAATTTAAGACGTCATATTAGCCAATATGTAATACATACCTTTACAACTGTATTCACAAGGAGAAGCAACAGCTCATGATTTTCATGTAGAAATAAAGAAACAGCTAAATAACCTATAAAATTTGAGAGGAAAAGTCTCATTATTACCGCCCCAAAATTAGCTTTTCCCAAGAAGTTAAGACAATAATATACTCCAAAATTTAAGTGCCAAAAATACCAGTTACAGGTAAATATAAAAACACAGAGCAAAACATGAAGTTCAAAAATTTTAGTAAATTAGATTTCAGGTATTCTTCATCCTGAAAATCTTTATGTATTTCACAGAACATACCTGAAGTGGAAAAGAAGCTATGTGTACCAGCTTAAAGTCCTGGAAATGACATTTGAAATATCTGCCTTCTGTTTTCTATGTAAATCTCTATGCAATCAATCAAAATTCTCTGTCTTGTAGCAAAACAATTATTAAAAACTAATAGCTACCATAGTTAATAAACAGAGTTACTAGTGGGGAGGGTAGAGCTCAATGGTTAGAGTACATGCTTAGCATGCTCGAGGTCCTGGGTTCAATCCCCAGTATCTCCATTAATATAACTAACTGAATAAATAAACCTAATTACCCCCCCAAAAAAACCACAAAAACAAAAAAAGATCAGTGAGTTACTAGCTATTTGTATTATTGAATGAGCTACCTAACACCAATCCATATGATGTAAATCATGTATTAGGCAATAAACAATTCTTATTTTCTAAATTTAAAGATATACTATTGAATAAATAATAATTGTTGAGGAAAGAAACACTGTCTATCACATTAAATGTACTCACTGACTTTAGCACTTTAATTTTAATATCAAAACATTAAAAAGTATAACTTTTTATTGAGGAAGTACATTAATACAGTGACAAATACCATGTACATGTAATACAGATGCTCCCTGTCATTTTTCTGTCACCCCTCATATTGATAATATTTGTTAGACAGGTCTTATGGGTCAAATATGTTGCAAGTCTCACCTCACTTAATCCTCACAACAACTCAATGTGGTAGGTATTATTATTATCCCCAATATAATAATGAGGCCTGAAAAGGGTAGCTGCCTGAGGTCTACGGCTACTTCACCAATCCAGGCAGTAGGAGCTAGTTCATGTTTTTAACCTCTATGGGGGGACCTCTACGCTGTAATACTGTCTGTCTACACAGTGTATGTTGAGACCCTATTCCCTGACTCCCATTCTCATTGTTTTTCATTCTTCTCAATTCTACCAGCCCTTTTATTAGAGATTCTAAATGTTAACTATCCCCATCATTACCTAGCATCCATAATTTCTGTGTCTGTTGGGGAAGATAGGAAAACTGCCAGAAACATCCTATTCTCATAACCAAGGAATAGCAGCATGACCCCCTGAAACATCTTCATGGAATGTGAGAAGAGTAGAGCTATTATGCTCACCATCACTGGAGAGAAAAAAAGAACTAAGGCCAAGAAAGAGAAGAGAAACACCCTAGAGAACATTTAAAGCAGGAATTAGGTGTTAACAGATTGCTGAGAACAGATTACATCTGTTCAGCTAAAATATCACTCACATTCAAGTCACCAATACCAAGACACAAGAAGATCAACAAACTAATCCAAGGGCCATCTCAATGAAACTTCAATTCTATCTGTTACAAAGAATATCCTGTTTTGACAATCAGGGAAACTTTTGACACTAGGGAAACAGGGGAAAAGATATTCTGTGACTCAAAAAATGAAAAAGGTTATTTTAAAAACAAAGAATAACAATTATGAATACAGAGTACATTTGATATGACTAAGAGCGAGATATTGGATAAGAATACAGGCTTTGACTCATAGAAACTGGTTTGCAGTCTAGCTCCACCATTTAGTAGCTCTATGACCTTAGACAAGTGATCTGATCTTTCTGAACCTCAGTTTTCTTCTCTGAAAAACGAAATACCATCTCTCAAAATTAAAGTACCTAGCATAATGCCTGACTTAGTGAATGCTGAAATGTATTTAGTTAACAATATTCATGTACAAAATAAGAAGGCATTATCCATCAAAGAAAGTACCAAAGCTAGCCTTAGGAATCTCAGGATAGTAGATGAGGCCATAGTACCAGACTAAAGATAAAAGGTTTAAAAGAAAACTTCCACTAGTTTGCACACATGAAGAATATCTGATACACAGAGATATACCTCTCTCTACGTGGCAATAAAATATCTTCCTAAGGAAGGTCAGGAATCTCAATAAAAATGACTCAGCCACTATAACTATGAAAAACACATGTACAAGGTCATTCACTGCAACATCATTTATGAGAGCAAAAAGTAAAAACAACCCATATGCCCAGAAATAGGGACCTGGCTGAAAATACCATGGTATACCCATCCACCCAATGAAAACTGTACAAAAATATAAAGATGTCAAAACAAGGTGTAGAATAATCTCTATCACATACTCTGTTTTGCGTAAGAAAGAGGATATGAGTGCGCACCCATGCATTTGCTTGTCTTTTCAAAAAGAAACAGTGGAAAGATTAATCAGAAACTAATCAGGATAGGTATCCATGGGGGTAGGGGCAAACCTGGTAGAGGGGCTAGAGATGAAAGTAAGACTTCTCTGATTGTACCTTTCTATCAGGTCTTAACTTCTGAACCATGTAACACATGTAATTTTTACATACTTTAAAAATAAAGTTTAAATGAAAATGAAAAATTACATTAAAGTCGAAGAAGCACAATATAGCAACAGTTGCACAAAGTATTATCAATTGTTTTCAAAATTTCCCACATTAGGGATCTTAGAATTAGTTTGGAAAAAGACATGAAAAGATAACAGATGGTAGGAGCCAAATGAGTGATGACAGAAGAGTTAAAACTTGGTTCGGAATATGGAAAGGGAGAGACGGGATGCCACGGGACATTCCACTTGGAAGAAAGAATACAACAAATATAAGAGATAGAGGGGTGGAGAGTATAGCTCAGTGGTACAGTACGTGCCTAGCATGCATGAGGTCCTGGGTTCAATCCCCAGTACTTCCATTAAATAAATAAACCTAATTACCTACCGCCCAAAAAAATGGGGGGTGGGAAGGGACAGACTGGGATTTCAAAATTGTAGATACTGACAGGCATATGCAGAATAGATAAACAAGATTATACTGTATAGCACAGGGAAATATATACAAGATCTTGTGGTGGCTCACAGTGAAAAAAAATGTGACCATAAATATATGTATGTTCATGTATAACTAAAAAATTGTTCTCTACACTGGAATTTGACACAACATTGTAAAATGACTATAACTCAATTAAAAAGAAGTTAAAAAAAATAAAAGATAGAAGAGTATTTTGGGTGGAGTGAAGCTCAACAAGTGGAATACTGTGCACAAAAAGTCTCAAAATCTTTACCAAGACATCTCCCAACCCCACCAACATCTAACAGCACAGGTCATTGTAACTTAAGAAGAATGCTGCTTCCTAACATGACACTATGAACTTCTTAGAATAAAGAACATGTTCTACTCCTATTATTCTAAGCTGCTTCCTTTCTGATATAAAGCTGAAACTATGAACACAAGATTTAAGTCCTTGAAAGAAATTTTTTTCCTAATAGCCCTGAAGGTTGATTATAAAATTTTAAAAAATACCTTTAATCTTCATAGCTAACATCTGTGAAACTGAGAACAGGATATTTTAAATTACTCAAGTCAATTTCAGTTTTATTCTATTAAAAAAAAACATTTCTGATTATTAAACTGATGAGACTAGACAGACTTTAAAATCAGCTTTCTTGGGGTATAATTACAAATAAGAAAATCACCCTTTTTTAAGTGTACAGTTCAATGAGTTTTAACAAATATATAAAGTCATCTAACCACCATCACAAGAACAAGCAACTTTCCATCTTCTCCAAAATGCTATGAATCAGGAAAACTGATTTCACTTATAGGCAGTGAGTTTTTGAAGTGTTATCTTATAAAGCTTTGGAATTTACAAGGTAGTGTTCTGAAAACATACTACATATCTACCATCATTCATTTAACGTAAGAGCCAGAACTTTAAGGACAACATTAAGTATAAAAGTCTTAAACACATACATACCTACTCTTTTTTCTAAAAGGTTCCCTTGTTGTGCCAACTTAATTGCATGTATATAGCCAAAGGAAGCATCATATCCAAGCATTTCACAATAAATAAGTCTCACCATACATTCCTTCATCATTTTCTGAAAAGCAAAATATCCAGTAACTGTACAAATAACTAGAATGCTTTAATTTTTTTATTATGTTGTAAACATTTATCAGGGGAATCCTGACACTGAAGAGATATCATATATATCATAAATTAATCACCCAAAGTCAGACTTTATAAATAAAAGCTGCCCCCAAATTTAACTAACAATAGTACTCATTTTAGTAAAATTATTTCAATATTTTGTTAGTGGCAACTGTAGAAAATAAATCAACTGTAGCTATCTTTAATTCTAGGTTTCCCTCATGTAAAATTTAGTTATAATGTGAGACACGTGGTCCTCACAAAATTTCATCCATGGTAATCTGACCTGGCTTTTAGGATGCAGCACATCATTTTAATATATTTTGTCAAATGAAAACATCTATAGAACTTCGACAAGTTGGCAATAATTTCTGTAACAAAAATATTTTTCACGTTTAAAGATCAAACTGCACCTGGAGTTTCTCCAGAATTATTATGCTGTATATAATATGCAATAGTTTGTTTTATAAGCATTCTTTTCAACAACTCTCCCAATTATTATGATTTCATTAATAGTATAGCCATTCCAATATTTAATTTAACTAGTTCTTTTAATATTTACAATTCAAGCTAATAAGTTGCTTTAGGAGAGTCTATAAAATTGCTTTATTAGTATGAAAATGCTTACATTCTCAATATTTACACAATTTTTAATTAAAAATAAAAAATACAAGTGTTTCTAAATCAGAAAAGTTGACTATTTTAATATTTAAAAATTAATTAATATATTACAAAGTTACTTAATCACAAAATGCTTAGGAAATGCTAAAATAAAACATTTTAAATTAAGGATAACATTTAATATTTGATATATGTACATATATATGTATATATATATATACGTAAAAATGAAGTAACTTTAAAAAGAAACCATAATAAAATCTTAAGGGAATAAGATTTAGTTCAGGTCACTTGTATTTAAAGTAATAAAAGTTAATTCATTAGCACACTGATTAAAACTACTACATACTGAAAAAATAAGCTTAAAAGATACCGGAAGCCCCTCTTCAAAGGCTTCTGCATCAGTGAGGAGTGAAAGTGTTCATTTAAGCCATTAAGTATTAACCCTGACTTTGTAATATTTTATCTCTTAGTTTTTTAAAAGTCATTATGAACTTTAAGTAAAATTCTATTGCATACATTATTATTCTCTTATTTTTGGAGAAAAAAGTGTATTTCCCCAATGTGGGAATTCTTTTGCAATTGCTCTAACAAACTGTCATCCAGCCTCTACCTGACCACCTTACAGCCTGTTCTGTAAAACATGCTCAGAGTTGGATAGCCATAATTATTATAAAATCTTCCTTCAAACTCTGGCTCCCTAACTTCTACCTACTTATCTTAGCTCTGCCAACACCAGGTTAATGCGTGGTAGCAAGAAAAACTTTTTTTACTAATACTAATTATAGAAAATTGAAATCAAGCCAAATAAAAAGAGAGAAACCACTTCTACTTAACATTTCTATCAAGTATCACAACACAATGATTTTATGCATACACACAAAACCATATACATATCTTTCCACACACACACACATATATATAAACAGATATATCATACTGACTATGTTTTGAGTTTCATTTGTCCACACATTATCATGACCATAAAAGGAAGTAAATACATTCTCTCAGACTTTACAAGTGTTATTCACAGACATGATCATGTTCTTATGCAAAATAAACACCCCGATATTTTTATTGGGAGAACATTCCACAGCAACTTACACAGAGAGGCACTCACTAAGTATTTGCTGAATAAATGTTGTTTGGAAAAATCTCATTATCCGAAACTACAGGAAAATTAAAAGAAAAAAGAATTGGCCTTAATCTAACTATGGAGGGACAGTCCCACAGTGGCCACTGCTTAAATAGTTGCTAAATGCTGTTTGAAAATCAAATTATATGGAACTAAGTTTTTTAAAAATTATATCTTGATTTAGCTGTTGTGCAATATACCCAGTTTTAAAGCCAGAAAATCATTTTCTCCACCTTGTCAGCCAACCTATACTCCAAGATATATAACAATAAAATGAAAGATCTACAATATATCATTTCAGGTCTGAAAATACTATTTTAAATGATTTATCCTAAGCTTCTTCCAGCGCACAACATTAAAACAATAAGATGGGCACTTGGGTCCCCTAGTATTGCCACATTTATGTAACTATCATCATGTTGGCACTGAACTGACATCAGTCAAGCACATCCTGCTTTGCTGCAGCCAGTCAATAAAAGACTAAAGTTAATTTGTCTCACTTGTTACCATCCATAACTGATCTTGACTGTGATAAATTATATTTAAACAACTGACCAATTAATGCCACTACTGAATCCATAGTGGACCAGATTTCAAATTCAAAATGTGCTGGCACAGACTATGCAAACTTACCAGAGTTGTAGTAGGAGCAGAAACAGTTGCTTTCAGATTATTCAGTTCCTGCTGGATTAATTTCTCTTCCTCCTGAAAAAGTGAAAATATTTAAATGCATGAATAACTGTCTTTTTAAACTGTTAACCGTATTTCTCAAAGGGAAAAATATAATATTTTCAATAAAAAAAGAAATTATTTTAAAGGAGAGTTATAAAAACTATGCACTTACGAGGTGCCTAAAGGTCATGTCTCCAACCCTCAGAATCATTCCTGGAAAGAATAAATTTCCAGGATAGCCCACCATTCCTCTTTTCTTCACTTAGTTACTGTCCCCTAAGGACAGCTTAGCAGAAAATGTGTTTGGCTTTTTCTTTTTTTAAGTTAATGGTGGAGAGAAAGCAGAAAAGGAATTCTTAATGTAGTGGCCCAAGATAAGGTTCTCACACCTTCTCCTTCTTCATGGAATAGAGAAACAGGGTAAGAGGGCAGAAACAGAAACCTTTTCCCCTTAAATTACATTCTTCTCCCCTATCCTTTTCTCCTTATTCCTCACACCCTTTCCCTCGCTTCCCATCTCTCTCTCTCTTACATACACAATAAATTCACCAATATGGTCACTTCCACTATCTGCATTGCATTTCACCTCCTTAAGCACTTGAAAATTGGCCCCAAATTTGGCCAATATAATGCTATCTTTAAATTACACACTGAATTATGTCCATTAGTGTCCATTAGTTGCTAACCAAGAACTACCAGTGAAGTACTGCCACGTTTAGATATCTTATATACAGTTTCAAGCTGCAATTTAAAACCAAAAATAAACTATTTCATTCAACACCTCATAAAAATTAAACGACAAAAAGTTAAGACAAACAATATTAAATCCACAAATTATGACTTCTGATGTGAAGCAGACCCTCTCTAGTACAGCATCATCTTATTTCAGTTTAAAAAGAACATTTTAAACCCTCAGAGCACTTTGAAGGAAAAACCTCCTCCTTTTGCCTTTTTTTCCCTCCTGAGACATATTTCATTGTGTATTTCTCATACTTGTCTTAAATCCATTATGACTGACCAATTCTTTGGCAAAAGGAAATGTGTTTTACTCTAGTCCCTCAGTGTCTAACACAAAGCCTCTTCGATAAATATCTTTCGAACAAATTATACATACCACATGATCTTTAAGATACAAAATTCTTGAAACTTTGAATCATTATCCTACACCACCTGTACAACTACCAAATGTCTGTGGGAACTTAATAACTTCCATTATAACTTCTTGTTTTCAAAGCCCATCTGAGGCAGAGACTTACTCAGCAAGTACTACATTTGGGGAGAATTACGCTTTTTCTTTGTCCAACCCGTTGGTCTTATCTAAGAACCTCAAGCTCCCCAAACGTATTTAACAGGTACAGATGGCAGGGTCCGTTCTGGTGTGTGACATGTAGCAGTTGATAGAGCTGGGAGAAAGAACCTCAGTGGGAAAGAAACTTTTTAGAACAATAATGCTGTCATTTCCATGGCACTTGGTATTTTTACACGGTTGATGTGTCATCTAATCCTCGAAGCAACCTATTAAATACATATTGGTACTTTTCCACCACAACGTTCAAGAAGCACAGGGAGACTCAAAGATTAAAGAGATCTGGCCCAGATAATAATGAGTCAGTGTCAGGGCCAACCGTGGAAACCTGGCCTCCCAGTTGTCAGTCCGGGCTGGAAAGTGATACTTCCGGACAGACACCAGGACCGACAGGCACACATGCTGTCTCTGAACCCCGTCGGAGGGTCGATCCCGGAGGCTAGTCGCGGGACCCGGGCCTCCCAGCGCGGGAGGCGCTCCTGACCTTCCGGCCCCGACGGGCACCTACGTGCTTGGAGGTGAGCGCGGTGATACCGCGGACGAGGCCGCCCAGCCGTGAGGAGAAGGACGCCTTGG